TCTCAAACTATAATGGTCAGTCCACTCAATAAACATTGCCAAGAGAACGATGATAGAAACAGCAACAGTCAATGAAAGAATGAATGAAAGCACGTATAAAGAATGAATGAAGGACGAAAATTATAAAGAAATAAATGAAACACTAACAATAATGGTCAGTCAACTCAATAAATATTGCCAAGAGAACGATTATAGAAAAAGCAACAGTCAATGAACGAATGAATGAAAGCAAGAATAAAGAATAAATGAAGAATAAAAATCATAAAGAAATAGATGAAACACTAACAATAATGGCCACGCCACTCAATAAACATTGCCAAGAGAACTATGATAGAAATAGCTGCAATAAATGAAAGAATGGATGAAAGCAAGAATAATGAATGAAAGCACGAATAAAGAATGAATGAAAAATGAAAATCATAAAGAAATAAATGAAGCCCTAACAATAATGGTCAGTCAACTCAATAAACATTGCCAAGAGAACGATTATACAAACAGCAACAATAAATAAAAAAATGAATGAAAGCACGAATAAAGAATGAATAAAGAATGAAAATTATAAAGAAATAAATGAAACACTAACAATAATGGTCAGTCCACTCAATAAACATTGCCAACAGAACGATTAAAGAAACAGCAACAATAAATGAAAGAATAAATGAAAGCACGAATAAAAAATGAATGAAGAATGAAAATCCGAAAGAAATAAATGAAACACTAACAATAATGGCCACGACACTCAATAAAGATTGCCAATAGATACGATTATAGAAACAGCAACAGTAAATGGACGAATGAATGAAAGCAAGAATAAAGAATAAATGAGAAATAAAAATCATAAAGAAATAGATGAAACACTAACAATAATGGCCACGCCACTCAATAAACACTGCCAAGAGAACGATGATAGAAACAGCTGTATTAAATGAAAGCATGAATGAAAGCAAGAATAATGAATGAAAGCACGAATAAAGAATGAATGAAGAATGAAAATCATAAAGAAATAAATGAAACACTAACAATAATGGTCAGTCAACTCAATAAACATTGCCAAGAGAACGATGATAGAAACAGCAACAATAAATGAAAGAATGAACGAAAGCACGAATAAAGAATGAAAGAAGAAAGAAAATCATAAAGAAATAAATGAAGCTCTAACAATAATGGTCAGTCAACTAAATGAACATTACCAAGAGAACGATTACAGAAACAGCAATGATAAATAAAAGAATGAATGAAAGCAAGAATAAAGAATGAATGAAGAATGAAAACCATGAAAAAATAAATGAAACACTAACAATAATTGTCAGTTCACTCAATAAATATTGCCAAGAGAACGATTATAGAATCAGCAACAATAAATGAAAGAATGAATGAATGCAAGAATAAAGAATGAATGAAGAATGAAAATCATAAAGAAATAAATGAAACACTAACAATAATGGTCAGTCCACTCGATAAACGTTGCTAAGAAAACGATTATAGAAACAGCAACAATAACTGTAAGAATGAATGAAAGCACGAAAAAAAAATGAATGAAGAATGAAAATCATAAAGAAATAAATGAAACACTAACAATAATGGTCAGTCCACTCGATAAACATTGCCAAGAGAACGATTATTGAAACAGCAACAATAAATGAAAGAATGAATGAAAGCACGAATAAAGAATGAATGAAGAATGAAAATCATAATGAAATAAATGAAACACGAACTATAATAAGGTCAGTCAATTCAATAAATATGACCCAGATGGCAATAATAGAAACAGCTACAATAAACGAAAGAAGGAATGAATGCAAGAACAAAGAATGTATGAAGAATGAAAATCATAAATGAATAAATATAACGTTAACAATAATTGTCAGTCCACACAGTAAACATGGCGTATATAATAGAAATTGTAACAATTTTCATCAACGATGTTTTTCTATAAATTTTTTTATTAATTTTTATTTTATTTACAATTTTACCTTTCATTACGACGTTCTCTCTTTTTCTCTTTCTCTCTCCCCTCTGTCTCTCTTTCTAATTCTCCCGCTTTCTCCTGTTTTTTTTTTCTTATATTTCCTTCCATTTCTCTACAATGATAATAATTTGTTCTTGTTTTTTTCTCATTTCTATTTTGATATTACTCACCCCGATGTTGATTTGTTCTTGACTTCAATAATGAGATAGCTTTTCCCTTTGCAGGTGTCCTCTTCATAAACATTTGCAAATCTTTTCATCTAATATGACTTTTATTCATTTTTTTATTCTGTCCATTCTTAATGTATTTATCTAAAATAAGAAGTCACCTTAAGTTTTCCGCCATGTTAAAATGTAAATTTCTTGTGAAGCGAACTATTGCAATTGCATCTTTTTGTGAGAGAGAGAGAGAGGGAGATAGAGAGAGAGGTAGGAAGTGGATACACCGAGCACAAAATTACAACAAATTACAATATTCACACGGATATTATATATATATATATATATATATATATATATATATATATATATATATATATATATATATATATATATATCAATAATAAACAGGTGTTAACTTGAGAGTGGGCGTGCATTAAGCGCCTACTGGGATTTAAACTCAACACAGACCTCAAGTGGTATTCATACATACGATCCATCGCTTAAGGGTAAGTGTTCTGTTCACTGTACCGCTTTAGTAAGCACCTGACTCCTCCTACTCTGCACTATCTTTACAAGAGCAAGACAAGAGCGATAAATAGAGTCAGTCAGTTATGTGCCATACGTGGTACACACTTAGGCGATCGTGTATCTTTCGATACATGACTGACGAGGCATATTTTTCCCGCAGTAGGTTGCCATTTCTTTCTGCGGTAGACCAGTTGCCATCCAAGGCTATAGAACCCGATCTGTCCTACTATTTACCCATAGCTGGAGGAAGAAGAAGAAGATTCATACCTTTCCCCAAAATGGAATAATGTTGCCATATATGAACATGAGCAGCCATGTCTTCACTTTCCAATCGCGATAGAACCCCAAATCGTCTCCTCGTCTTTGTGGGTGACGAATTATTTTCCACCCTACAACCCCTTTCTCCACAGACGAAACATCCCAAACCTCTTGCTGCTCTATCGCTATTGCCATGGTAAATGTTAAGACAAACTGCATTCCTTAATTCCACATGTTGTAACGTTCACGGCTAACCCACGCCCATTGTAGCGATCCACCCTTATTCCCTTCTTATTCTATTGGTGAGATGTAATATCCCTCGAGCAGATTCTTCCCATGAACAGCTACATTGTAGAATCAACTCCCAAGAGTTTGTTTCCACAATCACTACACTCTTAACCTGTTCAAGTCTAGGGTTAACCGTTATTTTCCCCACGTATCCTCATAAACTGTGCCGCTTAATCTGAAACTCACTTCCTGCTTTGTGGAACCGACTCCCACGAGGATGCTTCCCCGAACACTGCAATCTTAACCTGTTCAAGTCTAGGGTTAACCGTTATTTTCCCCACATATCCTCATAAACTGAGCCGCTTAATCTGCAACACTCTACCTGCCTTGTGGAACCGACTCCAAGGGGATGCTTTCTTGATCACTACAATCTTAACCTATTCAAGTCTAAGGTTAACTGTTATCTTCCCCACATATCCGCATAACCTGTGCTTCTTACTCCGCAACCCTCTACCTCGGGTGACCCTCGGGTCTTGTATAGGGTGAACATCATTGCAAAAAAAAGGGTCCAGTTTTTCAACCCTAACAGACCCAGCGATTGAACTCGTAATTATTGTCGGAGAACATTAGATTCTGCCATTATCTTGTATTCTATTGGTGAGATATAATTTCCACTCGAACAGTTTACAACCTCATGTTTAAGTCTAGTGTCAACTGTTATCTTCCCCACATGACCCTATAAACTATACATCGAGTGACTCTTAAGCCTTGTACAGGATGATCATCACTGTAAAAAAAGGTACCAACTTGAAAAATTAATATGAGAAACATTTGGTTTACAACATTCTTAATAGTTTAAAGATATGAGATTTGCATAATTACTGTCAGAGGTGTATTATTGAATTAGCCTTGGGGATATGTCTTGGTCTGACAAAACACGGTTCTGAGATTTTTGATGCCGGAAATTCGATGGTTTGTCTGATCTAATGTTGGAGCGCATTAATTGAAAATTACTGATGATTTGTCTCAAAATTTTAGACATTTGCCGAATGAGGTGAAGATTAGACTGAAGGGACAAAATCTCACTGTTAACAGCTTTCGTGGCGATTACTCTAACCGCAGCATTGCGGCAACTGTATTAAAGTTTGTTTTTTTTCATAAACTTGATGCGCAGTATTTGAACTATCTGACTAGATATCCCCTTTCCAGCTTTCTAACCACAGATACACTATCAGAGACAAACAAATGCCATTAATCACATGAAGCGACGAGAGTGGAAAGAAAGTACCTTTTGATTTTGGGTTTCTGGAAACTCCCAGAGCTGATGGCGTTTTCTATGTGCTTCCCTCGACTGAATATGACTACGGCTGAGCGGCCATCTTTGACCTGTGCATTTAAGGAGTGTGTCCACGGGTACTTTGACCTCGACATGCACGAAGCGGAAGAAATGAAATTGTTTGAAAGTGTCACGTCACATTCTGAGATGTCTACAAGGTGTGATGGGATTCGTTCTTGGACAAGGTTTTTGATACACTCAAAGTGGAGATGGTGGAAGATGAAGAAAAACTGGGGAAATCAGAGTAGTGTGACTAAGAAAGAAATAACGAAAGAGAAAAGGGACGAAATGTTAAAATGTCGAGAAGAAAGAAAAGAAAGAAAGAAAAAATGAATTGTCATTAAAATCCAGAAGAAAAAAGAAAGAAAGAAAGAAAGAAAATACGGAGGGGGGGGATGCCATTAAGATGCAGAAGAGGAACGAGAAAAATAAAGAAAGAACAAAAGAAAATTGTCATTAAAATGCAAAAGAAAGAAAAAGAATCTGAATTGTCGACGAAATGAAAAAGAAAGAAAAGAAGAGAAAATGACATTAAAATGTTGAAAAGAATGAAAGAAAAAAAGAAAAAAAATTATCACTAAAATGCAAAAGAAAGAAGGAAAGAAATGAAGAGAAATGTCATTAAAATATCGAGAAAAAAGAAAGATGAATTATTACTGAAGGACAAAAGAAAGAAAGAAAATGATTTGTCACTTAAATGCAAAAGAAAGAAAGAAAGAAAGAAAGAAAGAAAGAGAAATGTCATTAAAATATCGAGAAAAAAGAAAGATGAATTATTACTGAAGGACAAAAGAAAGAAAGAAAATGATTTGTCACTTAAGTGCAAAAGAAAGAAAGAAAGAAAGAAAGAAAGAAAGAAAGAAAGAAAGAAAGAAAGAGAAATGTCATTAAAATATCGAGAAAAAAGATGAATTGTCACTGAAGGGCAAAAGAAAGAAAGAAAGAAAGAAAGAAAGAAAGAAAGAAAGAAAGAAAGAAAGAAAAATGAATTGTCACTTAAATGCAAAAGAAAGAAAGAAAAATGAATTGTCACTTAAATGCAAAAGAAAGAAAGAAAGAAAGAAAGAAAGAAAGAAAGAAAGAGAAATGTCATTAAAATATCGAGAAAAAAGATGAATTGTCACTGAAGGGCAAAAGAAAGAAGAAAGAAAGAAAAATGAATTGTCACTTAAATACAAAAGAAAGAAAGAAAGAAAGAAAGAAAGAAAGAAAGAAAGGAGAAATGTCATTAACATATCCAGAAAAAAAGAAAGAAAGATAAATTATTACTAAAGGGCAAAAGAAAGAAAGGAAAAAGAAAGAAAAATGAATTGTTTCTTAAATACAAAAGAAAGAAAGAAAGAAAAGAGGAGAAAATGTCATTAAAACTTTCAGAAAAATGAAAGAAAAAAGAAAGAAAAATTGTCACTGAAATGCAAAAGAAAGAAAATAAGAGGAAATATCATCAAAATGTCGAAAAGAAAGAAAGATGAATTGTCATTGAAATGCCGAAGAAAGAAAGAAAGAAAGAAAGAAAGAAAGAAAGAAAGAAAGAAAGAAAGTTATATCGACGTTTACTAAGCCAAACCATATCTGCAAATGTCATATGACACATATTCACTGTCAATGGTCTGCGGGTCTCGCTCCCCATTACACCATTTCTTAACTACACACAGTCCTTTAAGAAACATATTACAGAAGGAACGGAAAAAAAGTCAAATGAACAAAATCTATATTAGACATCATCGATGGATGACGAACAGAGAATAAAAACATTTAATAACCATTAAACGAAAAAAAGGTCTGTTCAGTTTTAATACTTTGGCAGACACCCTTATCCGAAGGATCTGAGGGAAAGGTAGTCGCTTCTTTTATATACCATGTCCTTTCAGGACGTGAAGCAATCCAAGCTCTCCTTAACTTCCTATCATTTGTTGCTCTACGTCACTCTGGTTTCTTTGTTACATTTTCTATCTTCTTCTGTCAGCCATTTACTAAAACTCATTAAGTAGGTTATTCTCTTCTTCGACTACTTCTCTTAGTTTTAATATATCCTATGTGTGTTAAATTCTCTCAGCCTACTTTTCTCGTTATGCGTCCTAGAAATTCCAACTCTGTCTTTCTGATTGTAATTATAAGGTTGACACTCCTCCCCGGTCTTTTGAAAAAGAGGAGAGTTCTGTTCCTTGTTTGGGATTGGGTTTCCGGTTCCTTTTAAAGACTTTTTTATTCTCTTTCACTACGAGTAGCGTCTCCATGCATCTTAGTGGCATTATCGCCTTGCTTGGGTGAACTGATTTTTAAAAAAAAAATTTCTTGCTGTCTCCCTTTATTCTTAAAACTTCCTATCATTTGTTGCCCTACTTAACTCCGGCAGCTTTACTGTATGCTTTGGCTTTAATGATCTTTTTTTTGTCAATCATTTACTAAAACGTAGGTTACTCTCTGGTTCGACTACTTTTCTTACTTTCAATATACCCTCTGTGTATTAAATTCTCTCAGCCTACTTTTCTCGTTATGTTTCGCAGGAATTTCAGCTTTCTGTTTCTGATTGTAATTATTCGTTTAACACTCGTCCAACGTCTTTTGAAAAAGAGGAGAGTTCTATTCCTTGTTTTCTTGTTTAGGATTGGATTTCCGGTTCCTCCAACTAGTGTTTCTTGCATCTTAGTGGCATTATCACCTTGCTTAGGATAAAGTGATTTTAAAACATTTTTAGACCTTCTTATCATTTGTTGCTCTACAAAACTTTTTACTGCATTTTTAGCCTTTGTGGCTCTGTCAACCATTTACTAAAAAGCACGTTATTCTCTGTTTTTGACTACTCTTATTTTCAGTATACCCTACGAATGTTAAATTCTCCCAGCCTATTTTTCTCGTTATGTACCCTAAAAATTTCAGCTGTCTCTTTTTGATTGTAATTCTAAGTTTCCTTGTAGTTACCATTTTCCTTAAAACTTGCTCGTTCTTCACATGTCCTGTCTAAGGTATTCTCAGTCAGTCAGTTATGTGCCATGCGTGATACACACTTAGGTAATCATGTATCTTTCGATACATGACTGACGAGGCAGATTTTTTCCCGCAGTAGGTTGCCATTTCTTTCTGCGGTACACCAGTTGCCATCCAAGGCTATAGAACCCGGTCCGTACTGCTATTTAGCTGGGGGAGAGTATCCATAGCTTTCCCAAGGGTATTAGCATGTAAGTGAATGTATTGGATTCGACTGGAATTCGAACACGGCTCTCCGATTCCTCAATCCGAGCCGCTATCCAGTGATGGAATGCGGAGCAAATTTGGGTGCTTTGTTACTATGTAAGTGGCATGGCAGGTCGTAGCTGTGAAGGTCAGACCTGGTGGAACCATGGAATATCGTTCATCTGAACATTTTCCATGGAAATAGCAATATAAAAATGTCTTAAGTTTAGTATGTTCTTTTACCTGCTAAATTTCTGTTCACCCGCCGGGCTAGAGAAGACTAGTCCCTGGGAATCCATCCCTGTGGTAGCACCTTCCTCATTGCACTAAAAAGGGGTGGTTGGTGGATAACAACACCAACGCGATAGTGGTCACAATGACATTTTTTTTAAATAAATTAATGTTCACCTATTAAAAGGCAAGAGAACCACTCAAGGTAGAGGGTGACTGAAGGATGGGCCTGATACGAGGGTAACAGTAGGAAGTGAAGGTTATGAGGATATGGAGGAGAGGTAACGATTGACTATTGAAGAGGTTAAGAGTGTAGCGTTTGCGGAAGTATCCTCGCGGGAGTCTGTTCCACGAAGTTGTGTTTCTTATCTGTAAAGATCTGAACTGGTAGAACTAAGGAATAAAATTGGTGCTAATATTTAAAATAGAAATCGCGATAGATTAGTGACAGGCTTGCAACTTCGCGTCTGTGAGATAGAAGCTTCAGGGTGAAAAATAAGTCAAAACACACATACACACAGTGAAAAGGCCGCGTAATTTTTGTGATGTACCCTAGATTTACTTGACCCCAACACTGAGTCAGGTTGTGACACAAGGTCGGTTTTTAACGTGGAGATCCGAATGCTTCCACTAGGGCCGCTGGTCTAAGCTGGTATTAGCTTGTCTAAGCTGGTCAAAGGTTGTCTAAGCTGGTCAAAGGTTGTCTAAGCTGGCCGTAGCCGGTCATACCACCGCTACGTAACAGAGGCTACGCGGTGAGGGTGCTATGCAAGGGAGGAAAGAAGGCCCCCGACACGGAACAGATACTAAAACTGCAGCATCTACTCCGACGGGAAAAATCCTCTTCTTCTCCCCTACCACCTCCTTCCGGAAGAATCCGTAAGAAGAGCCCCTTTTTGTGACATACCCCCACCCCCGCATTAAACCGACCGTATGTCAATCTTCCGCCTTGGAGTAATGAGTAAATTGCAGATCAAAGTAAAGTATCTGTTCTTCTCTACCAAGATTCTTCTTTCGGGCAGTTCACGGTTCTGTAATCCTTGATCTCAGGGATTCCAACCTTATGGCAGCACCCCACTTATTGTACTAAAGGTTGTTGAATACCAACACCATCATGATAGTGGTTGCGGTGAATGGACAATTTTTGTCATTGGCCAGTATGTAGAGCACCCCAAAAAACCTACTTTGTGGCATATTGGACCTTGCAGCACAAAGCGAAACTCTGTATGACTGAGGTAATTTCTTTTTTTAAATTTTAGAAACTCATTTACAGGGGCAGACTGGTCAGGGTGTCAGCTTGCCTGATGGCAAATGGGTCCCCTATATCAAATAAAAATGCAATGAAGAAACAAACACAGATAACTGTTTTAGTAATAAAAAAAGAATAAGTACTTTATAAAGTCATAGGAGTCCAATCCTTCTTTTCTCCACTTTCAACAAGGATCAAATTGTAGTATCAGTTTTTTCTTCCTCTTAAAATTATAAAAGAAGCCTGACCCCAGGGATTCCAATCATGCAGCAGCACCTTCCTTATTGCACTAAAGAGTAAGTTTTGGCGAATAACAAAGTGATCGTGACAGTGATCACGGGACTGGGCAGTTTTATCATTGGCCCATATGTAAATTTATGGTTACTCCATGTTGAAATGTATATTTATTGTTGATTCATGTACAACACATTTGGCACATGTTTGAAAGGGAAGTGGGGTAAGGCTGGCCAACACTAACTATCCCAGGCCTAGCTAAACAGATTCACGACCCATTCACCCATTACAATTACATTCACCACAAGAACTCATCCATCACTATTCAATATATTTGTTATTGTAAAATAATACAATAATTGTGGCACAAGGCCAAAAGGGAAGTGGAGCAAGGCTGGTCTCTAACTATCCTACCTTATCCGTCACGTGACTACTCTTGAACCCCCCCCCCCAATTTCTATCGAAGATTAATCACAATCACGACCCATTCATCCAATACAATTTGTCCATTTACCACAAGAACGTATCCCTCACCTCTCAATCTTGCACATACCACAATACCACACATTCACAGGGGACCTACCTCATGTTATAAAAATCTCATGAAAGTTCATAATAAAAAATATATAAAAATTTCATGAATTATGAAATGAGTGGGAGGGAATGAACCCCGAAAACTAACAAAAGATTGTAACAAAGCAAACTAAAACAAAACAGATATTAGTAGGACCCGTCCATCCTTCAAAATAATAAGAGTGGCCGCTGTATTCTATCGATAGACAGAATCAAGTAGCACACTCACTAATGGAGAGGGAAGAGTAAAAATAAATGATGGAATGGGAAAATCAAAGTCTGACCCAGCCGAGACGAGAGAAAGGGGACAAAAAACAAACTGGGGAGGTTGGGAATCTTGACCTGGATCATAACAATGGAGAATGCCGGGAACAGGCCAAGAGCAACATTTATTTACATTAACTTGGAAAACAAATTCCATCACAATTCAATCATAAATATATGACAATACCTCGAATTCACTGGGGGCCTTAAAAAAATCTCCATGTCATAAAAATTTATTTATGTACAAACACTCCATATTGAAATGACCATGTGTCACATTTCTGCTGTTGTAGGGAAATAGCTAAATACCTGGGGTGATAAGACAACCAATTCAAAATTTCGTAGCACTGGGCTGTCAAGTGTAATTGAGGAAGATTTTTACTACCATCTTTACCTCCACTTTAGACATTTTTGGAATGAGCCATTACGTCACGTGACTACTCTTGAAACCCTCACCACCATTTTTTTTTTTTTTTTGAAGATTTTAATAAAACAAAATAAACAAAATGGAGGAGCGTGAATCTTATTACCCTTCGGTTCAGTAATTCATTTTCTTTTTAATCCGAATGATTTTAATGTTCATCAACAGGAATTTTATAACATCAATGACAATTAGGAAAGATAACGCATTTTAAAATTGTAGACCATAATTTTTCGTATTCTTCTCATATCGCGACGGACATTTTATGTATGGATGTTTTTCTACGCTCAAAACTTTAAGTGTATTTGAATTTTCGTCGGGAAAATATAAAATTTCGGTGACTGTTTCATGGAAGATCTTGAATAATTCTAAAGTTATGGCAGAAACAAAAGGTATAAATAATAATGAAGTCGGTGAAAGCGACTCGTTCAGTTAAAAAGATTCGGATAATGAAAAACTAGCATTTTCCTTAACTCCATTTTTTCGGCCTTTCGTAATATTTTGTACCTTGTACAAAAATATTTATCGTTAGAGACAAATCTCTTTCTCTTCGAATTAGTATCTTTTATTGTATGGAAACCATTTGGATTTTGCAGAAAATACATTTTCAATGTTTCAACCGAACTATTTCGCTTTATTGGATTTCGTAATTTGGATTTACCTGAAAGACGAAAGAAGTCGAAAACATTGTGCGACTGAGGTAAGTTACGACTCAGTTTTTTTTTTTGTTTATTGTTAAATATTCATTTACAAGAGCAGATTGGCTAGGATGTTGGCTTGCTCGATGGCAAGCGGGCCCTCTATATCAAATAAAAATGCAATGAAAAAACAAACACAGTCCACTGTTTTAGTAATTAAAAAAAGGCATAAGTCATCTGCACACTATCAGTTATTCAAGTCCAATGTGAGAAGACATTTTCAAAGCTAAATATCATAAACACAAGGTTAAGAAATTTGCTGCCTGAAGAGAATTTGGAATTGTACATGTTGCTATCAATTGAAAAATAATTGTTAGATGAATTGGATGCAGAAGCAATTATAGGCAGATTTGAACGATCATCAAGGAAACACAAATGATTGCTCTCAAATTTTTATAGTGGACTGCATGCTCTATTGCGTTTTTTGTTAAGGTGTAAATTGTGTGGTAAGCTATTTACTAATATCAACCAATTAAAATAAACAAAAAAAAATAACTTATAGCATTCTGTATTTACATTTGTTACCCACTGTTAGAAATATGTACACTACATGTACAATATGAGAAACACACTTTTCCCACAAAAACTTTAATTTAACCCCCCCCACACACACACACACACATACACACACATTTTTATATATTTGTTTTTTTGGGGAAGATTTTATTTATTCCTTATGAAAATGAAAAGATAGCCCCTGTAGTTATGGATTGGTTGCCGTTGTCTTCTGGCGACCAGTCCACGAATCGTTTTCTTTTGTTTATTTATTTGCTTTAAAAGTGTCTGTTTTATGCTATCCTCGTCCTAAGGAAGGTGTTCGTCACTTTTGGCTTACGGCCACATCTCGGATGTTAAACAACGTCGAGCCTGGTCAGTCCCTAGATGGGTGACCGCTTAATATCAGGTGCTTGAAGCTTGGATGTGCGTGTGGTGTAATAGATTATCTAGCCTGGAATTGATAACTGGAGAGCCGAGTTCCAATTCCAGTTGGGTTCGTTCCATTCGTTTACGCGCAAATTCTCTTGGGAAAGGTATGAATTCACCTCTTCTCCCTCCAGCTATGGGTTAATTAGTAAGACTTGTATCACTAAATCATTATCTAAAAAAAAAAAATTCTTACAATCTAAAAATATTTTTGGCTTTAAATAACCTAATAAGGTTTGATAAGCCGTAGAAAATGAATGAATCGGTCAATCACGTTCTTCAAGTTGGATTCGTGTAAGAAATTAATTTATTTTTATTTTATTTATTTATTTTTTTTTTATCACCATTAACTAAATTCCTTCGCTCTCTGGAAATTCAGAATTTCAGATGACGAAGACTTTACGGTAAATTTGCAGATTAAGCCCCGGAAACCTATTGTAATGAAAATTTCCGTTTTGGTGTAAATCCTCATACTTATTTCGAAAATAACAGAAGTTTGCGTTAGGAAACCGTTTAGGAGTTATCGACAATATAAGTTCGACCTCATTCGCGTCGCGTTTACAGCCCGGCCGTCATTACTGGCTTTGTTTACATACGTTTGTTTCTAATAGTAATGCCCGGAAGCTTCACTTGTCTTGATTATAGCGAAATGCACGAACTTCAAATTTCGCGAACTGCACAGTAATCAAGACGAGTCAGATAATAATAACAATCAGTAAAACAAAAAAGAAAAAAAAAGCCGTTAACTAAGTAAGCTTCCGCGCATGACTTACTCGAGGCAAACGTATGTAAACAACACCAGTAATGGTAGCCGCGCTAGACGCCAATAAAGCCGAATTTATATTGTCGATAACTCCTAAACTAGGTACCTCCACGAGATCTCTAAAAAAAGAGCATAGCATGATGAAAAAGACGCCAAACTTGACGAAAACAAAATTTTATCGTCTAAATGTTTGTTATTATTACGAGGAAAGGTCAAAGTACTTTTGGGGTATTTTTTTCCATTTTTTTAATCGTTCCTAGCACGTCCGAAATTTTCGTTAAAAATCTAGTTTTTTTTTGAGTCAGCAAAATTGATTTTTTTTTTCCATTTTAAAAAAAAAAAAACTGGAAATCTGACTTTGAAATTTTTTAAATATCAATTATCATTTTTTTCAAAACTTATTTTAAGAAAATCAGAAATTATAATGTTTATTTAAAATATTTTGAACCAAACTTAACTTAGCTTTTGTGCCAAAAAGATGTAATTTGAAAATAAAACAAAGCAGGTCATAAACTTTCGCGTCTCTTGACATGTGATGAATGATATATTTACGAATTCCATGAGGCTAATTTGTTCTACGGAAGGAGAAAAGTGAAATAATTTACATTTACGTGAAAAAATTATTTACCCCGTTATTTTTAACGAAAACTTTCAGCGGTCTCTTTTTTTTTTTTTTTTTTTTTTTTTTTTTTTTTGTACTTAGCTTTCACCTTTGCGTTTATGATGCTTTATGGGAAATATATTGTAAAGAAACTAAAATAAAACTGTTAAGAGTGACATTAAATTTCATATTTCTTAAGAAATGTATCTAATTAATTTATAGGTACCTTTCTTATGAAATTTTATCAGAATTGTACATAAAATACTATAATTTTATGTACAATATAATTTTATATTACATTCTACTGTTATTTGTATTTGCATTCATTTTATTATTAATTTTGATATTTCATTTATGGAAAAATGTCGTAACTGAGATTAATATAAAAATATGATCATATAAATTTCATAAGATGATACTGATACTTGTAGGTACCCTTCTCAGTTGAAATTGAAAAATCAAATTAACTTCTCCACACGTGTTTCGCAAAAGTAAAGGCCTTAACAGCGGAGAACAATGCTCAACTCAAATAACGCAACTTAATTATATTCTGGTTGGTCTTCCGTATTTTATAATTACAGCTCGATTATAAGCACAAAATTACATTTCTTAATTACTGGGGATCTTCTGATTAGTCAAAATGATACAATTTACAACGCGCTAAAAAAAAAAGATCTATCTCATAAGGACACTTATGAAAGCCGATGCGGCTTTTAACTAATTTTATAATATTTTAACAACTTAAATGTAAAATCTATTATAATTAATGAAATAACAAATAATTGTATTAAAAATTCATTTTTCATCGAAAAATTTTTTTGCTTTCAGAAAATATTGTCCATATTCATAAAAACAACTAAAAGCATTTGAAATTAAATAATATCTTTGTTTTATTGAGTTTTGTATGTTTCAATTCAGAGCTGATTTTCAGGTACTGCGTATCCAATTAAAAACAAAAAAAACATGATTTGCATTCCTCAAAGCCCTGTGCTTTTAATTATTGTAATCACTAAAACCGATGCGATCGAATTTCTAGCGTTTTCATAAAATTAATTATGGGGGGTAATAAATATTTTTAAAAAATATTTCTACCATGACTTTCATAAAAAAAACATATTTATAATAATTTCGATCATCTGTGAATAGTTCCTGAAAGTTTCATTAACATCCGATAATTATTTCTATTTTTGCACGATTTTTCAAATGTGTGTCATACCAAAAAAACGTGCTAAAAATTGTCTATGTTATTTACTAGTTCCGCTGATACAAATAGAAAAAAGTTTTTTTTAATCAAAATTTAGAATGTTCTAAAAAGGAAAATTTATTAAAAATAATTAAAAAAATCTTTGGTCTTTCCTCTTAATAATAACATAAGCATTTAGACAATAAAATTTAGTTTTTGGCAAGGTTGGCGTCTTTTTCATCAAGCTATGCTCTTTTTTTAGCGATTTCGTGGAGGTACCTAGGTTAAGTTGTATTTACAATTCTAATCATCACTTTTTAAAACAAATATTGCGGAAGAGTGGGGGGGTAGTCAAAAAAGCGGTGTCACGGGAAAAGCTGTCCTTTTGAGACTCCGTCTTATTGCAGGCTCGGAGGTCTATGTTTGGCTTTTTCCTCTCGACAGAAAAGTGCTTAAATCTTAACTTTCATTGGAAACATGGTAATTATTAGGTTGGTGCAAAAATAATGACGTAATAATGTCGTTTTTTGACGTTAAAAAATACGTCAAAAAACGACATTATTACGTCATTATTTTTGCACCAACCTAATAGTTGGTGTCTTAAACTAATGGTTCCAAACCTTTTTTAGCTCGTGGCTCACTTTTAACCCAGAATTGTTTTGTGGCCCTATAAAATTATTATAGTGTAAAAATGACTTCCATTTTGTGGCTCGTATTATTAGCTTGGTGACCCAGTAAAAATTATAAAATTTCTGTAGGCCATATCAAATTTCCCGTGGCCCATTTTGGGGAAAAACTGGGTTAGATCATTTTCTCTCCCTTAATACGAAAGTCATTTGCGCTTGTAATCACTTTCGGATTAATCTCGTATCAAATGATTCCTGTCACATTTTTCGAGGAACTTGCCTTAAATACTTTCAAGTTCTCTGGTGAAATTGGCATCTTACGATCTGGCAATGTTAATGTTTACATGTCGGTGGCGGGGGTTTATTCAGCATCTTTAATTATTCATCATTCCAGGTAACATTATATCGAGGCCGTTCAATCTACTCGAATATCTCGTTAGAATCATCGGTGGCGTTATTTTACTTTTTTTACCCACCAGTCACAAATCGCGTGGAAATTTTGTGGCAAGGATACAAATCAAAACGAAGCATAGACCAAATAATCATGATATGATGACCGATTACTTTTCAGAGTATATGTGTAATAAAAGATTCAAATCTATTATTCTTGGCATCAAATAGCCACGGGTTGATATCGTGTTCAAAATTACTGGTTCTTCAATTTGTATTAAGTTAAAAAAAAAAAAAAAAATTGCTGATTTTCTTACACACACACACACACACACACACACACATATATATATATATATATATATATATATATATATATATATATATAAATTATCGTTTTCTTAAAAATGATTCCATCGCGACACAGAAATTACTCTTTCGAAACTTGAGTCAAGTCCTAAAGTTTAATATCAATATTAAACTTAAAATTTAGAGTACAGTTTGTCTCAAGCGATGTTTTAGTATAACTCACTGAAGAAAAGAAATGTATATTCTTGTTTCTTCCTTGTATCGTTGAAAAAGAACACGTGTTCGAAAATTCCGACATTAAAATCTCTTCATGCTCCAATTCAGTGAAGTGGATAATATATAATAATAAATGTCAATTTTATTAACAATATTGGTATAATTATGTTTGCATATATATATATATATATATATATATATATATATATATATATATATATATATATATATAAATAATAATAATAATAAAAAGGCTTAAACACTAATATTCCATGGTCATAATTTATTCCATTGGAATCGTAAGTACGATCCAATTCATCAGACCTACAAATTCAAAAAGAAAACAGAAAAAACAACTCCGTAAATAAAAATAGAATTTAGAGAGAGTGTAAGTATGAGAGTGTGGGACGAATGTTAGAGCTAAAGAGAGGGGTAACAGACGAGAGAAGGTGGGAGATTAAACCTTAACAGAGGAAAGTTTTAGAGAGGTGAGTGGAGGAGGTTTAAATGAGAGAAATATTAATTTTGTCGGATGTCTAATACATTAAAGATACATTTCGTGGTGACATACACACACCATAGACGATCTAATGTTAAAGATCAGAATAAGAATGTATATATATATTTACATATGTATATTTATATATTTTGCATGTGTATATTTACCACTAATATTAGCTAAATATATATATATATATAATCTTATTACCCTTAGCGTTATTTTTAGTGGGCACACGTTTTTAGGTTGCTATCCCTGTTTATTTATGATTAAACAGTGAAATTAATAGCAACTCGCCTAAAAGAAAAAAGTTTATAGTAATAAAAAATGCTTTTAAAAATGTTTGTATATGTACACTATCAATGTTTTGCTAATGGATTTATTATGTACAAGTACATGGAAAAATAATTTCATTATAGAAATATATTTTATAAAAAAAAAACGAAAATTTCAGTTTGAAATTCTTTTAAAAATCAATTATAATTTTTTCAAAACTGATTTTAAGAAAATCTGAAATTATAATGTTCATTCAAAATATTTTGAACCAAGCTTAACTTGGTTTCTGCGCCGAAAAGACGTAGTTTGAAAATAAAACAAAGCAGGTCATAACCTTTCGCGTCACTTGACAGGTGACGAAAGACATTCATGACGTTTTTATAGCTTACGTGAGGATAATTCCTTCTACGCAAGGAGAGAAATGAAGTTATTTAGATTTAAGTGAACAAATTATTTACCTCGTTGTAAGGAAAAGTTTCAGCGCTCTATTTTTTTTGTACTTACCTTTCACCTTTACGCTTACGATGTTTTATGGAAAATATATTATAAAGAAATTAAAATAAGACTGAGAGAGATTAAATTTCATAAAGGTATCTAATTGATTTATAGGTACCTTTTTCCTATTAAATTTTATCAGAAGTGTACAAACCAATACAAATTTAAATTTCATAAGATGATACTAATACTTGTAAGTACCCTTCTCAGTTGAAATTGAAAAATCAAATTAACTTCTCCACACGTGGTTCGCAAAAACAAATTTATCTTAAAAGGACATTTACGAAACTGCGGATTTTAACTAATTTTTTAATACTTTAACAACTTAAATGTAAAAATCTATTTTAATTAAAGAAATAACAATTGTATTAAAAATTCAGTATTTGATTTAAATACTAGACAGAAAATCAATCCACGTAACGTTTTTTATTGCACGCATGATACTTCCGGTCTTCCGTAGATTTGTTTTACAGTGTTATTATTGACACAATTTTTTTTTTTTTTTTTATATACTGTTGTTCGTTAATTTGAAAGAAGTTTTGGAAATTATAATCAATAAATATATATCTACTTAATAACAACATTCGTTAAATTCTACAAACTTTTCCTTAAAATATTTCAGAAATAACAAATAATTGTTTTAAAAATTCAATTTTCATCGAAATATCTTTTTGCTTTTGAGATAATATTGTCTATGTCAATTAAAATAAATAAAAGCAACTAAAAGCATTTGAAATTAAATAATGTTTTTATTTTATTGATTTTTGTATGTTACAAGTTTCATTAAAATCCGACAATTATTTTTGTTTTTTCAAGATTTTCAAAATTAATGCCTGTCATACAGAAAAAAATAAAACGCGCTAAAATTTTGTTATTTTACTAGTTCCGGTGATACAAAGAGAAACAAGGTTTGTTTTTTTGGGGTTTTTTTTTTAATCAAAATTTAGAATGTTCTAAAAAGAAGGAAAATTTTTTTTTTAAATAATTTTTAAAAAAATACTTTGATCTTTCCTCTTAATAATAACATAAACATTTAGACGCTAAAATTTTGTTTTTGTCAAGTTTGGCGTCTTTTTCATCATGCTATGCTCTGTTTTTAGCGATCTCATGAAGGTACCTACGTAAAGAGTAACAAAATTTAAAATATTTCATAACTTTATTTTTCACTTTGCTAATGATGTAATCGGACAGTCCTTGTCTGTTTTTAACACATTCAATAGTTCATAAGATAACAGACAAGCCTACAAATAAACAAAAATGATAAACTTTCAGAAGCTTTATTTTCCAATCTGCTAATAATTCAGTTGGCTAGTACTTACGTATTTTAATGTATTTAACAGTTAATAGCATGCAAACTTACAAATAAACAAAAATTGCAAACTTGCATATGCAATTAGACATTTAAATCAACAAATAAAAATAGATATCTAAAAAAAAAGAATGTGGAATATTTAGCGTAATTATGGCATAATATACAGAAAATTCTAGAATGCTCCAGAAATTCATAGTACAAATATACCTACATACGATTGTAGAAATTTCGTGTTTGAGGTGGCATTTGAAAAAAAAAAATAAAATAAACTCTTCATTATTTCTTAAGGAAATTTCCTCGAAACATGATACTGAAAATAAATTATTTTGCAAAGTATGTAATATATATAGTGGAAAAAAAATTGTGACGCCTTTCGGACTTCATCGGACTAAATCGGTTAATGTAGTGGAGAACTTGGAGAGGGGAATTAACAGGAGATAACTGACATCCATTAAACATGGCACGTGGAACTAGAACAGTCTACCCCAGTGAGCGTAATAAACTGTTCAGTTCGACATGCCAACCACCTGAAGAAGGCCGGAGCGTACAACGGCCGAAACGTTGTAATAAATATAGCGACAAAGATTCGAACAATAGTCCGAATAATGTAAATAGTGTTCTTTGTATGTTTCTTTATTCTTGTGAACCCGAGGCTATCTCTGCTGGTACGATGTGAGTGATCACATACACTTTATCTAGGGTTCTCTCAGTTAATCGATTCTTTTTCAGAGAGTCTGCCAATTTTAACCAGATTCTCCCTGTAAATAAAATGGAAATACTTCACATTCAGTCAGCCTGTTTTTCAATAACCGTTTCTGGTCATGTTTCGGTTACATCACTGCGGAGATAACATTTTTCAATAAGAGAATGTACTCTGATTATTTGTGAATATCTTTGCTAATGATACAATGGTATATGAGTGCACCTTCAGAGCTTGGCAGCTGATCTCTCTGACCGAGCTCTAACAGCTCTGTGTGTGTGTGGAGTTTTTGGTTCAAATAAATTACTTTGGAGTTTTCTTTTATGATTTTTATATTTAAACTAAATATATATTTCCAGTAAATATAGTATTTTAAATAGACAAACAATTTAGATTTGAAATTTGATCATCTTGCCCCCAGCGAAGTGACATGTACCAAACCAAGATCATAAATGCCGGTTCAAATAAATGACTTCTGTATTTAAACTGAATATATTTTCTAATAAATGTAAGATTTTAAATAGACAAACAATTTAGATTTGAAATTTGATCATGTTGCTGTCAGCGAAGTGACGGATACAGAACTAGTGTTTTTATTTTTTATTTAAAAGGGTTAGTTTTCTTTTATTATAAAGTGTTTTCAATACACGACATCCCTTACACACACACACACACACACACACACACACACATATATATATATATATATATATATATATATATATATATATAACTCCACTAATATTGAAAGCTTATATTCCCTATACAGCGCCGGCCGGCTACCACGAGACGTAAGCCGAGACATAGATCAAAAGAATTCTTACTCAATTTTCAAATTTATCCCTTTAGGATTTCCTAATTATTAATAGCGAAATTGTGGTCATACTGAAAACTAATTATCTTTGTTTTGTTTTTTTTTTCTTTTTCTTTTTCTTTTTATTCTTTAGCAAATTCTGATGTCAATTATTTTTAAATAGAGAAGCCGAACAAAAAAAAATTCTTCGTGGTAGGGGCAAACGAAAAATTGTTTTTCTCGACGGAAAAAAAAAAAAAAAGCTCCCCCCACCCCAAATAGCACATTTTTCGTTTGTCTCCATCATGAAGATTCCCGCCCAAACTCGGGGTAAGGACGCTAAAAAAAAAAAAAAAATCTAACTAGTCATGAAAGTTTTGGTCTGGTCGAGGCTATTTTAAGAGCATATAAGTCCAAAGGCGACACTCGATGGATTTTTTTTTCTAATTTCAAACTTAACATTTTTTTCGGGAAAAGCTAAAAAAATAACATCCGACTGTTTAAATTTTTCTGCCATCTTTAGAGCTGAAACTCAAGTAAGAGTTCCACTTGAGGTATGGGCAGAGTTTATGCCACAATAGGCGCACAAGGCATGCCTCCGTTATCCCAGAGGTACATCCGTTCATCGTGATTGGTGAAAGTTCCCATGAGAGAGAGAGAGAGAGAGTATCCACTAAAATAAGGTTTAAGTAATGTATGTGTGCGTGTTCACATGTGTCACTCAAGCCCAATGCATATGTAATCCATTCGAGTCCTAATGGCACCACGTATTGTAGCAGTAGTGGTGTATCTTGGGGAAGATAACCTGACTGAGCACAACCCTCTCCAGGCTGAATTGAATTCAGTTTTCCTTCTCCTACTCTGGTTGCCAATAAAGGCTATAGGGAACAGTCTGTTCTATTCAACCAGAGAGGAGAGATATTCATATCATTCCCAAGAGTAATTGCGCGTAAGTGAATATTATGAACTCTACCTGAATTCGAACTCTGCCCACCAACTTCTCATTTTGAGCAAATATCCATTACATCACCGTGCATTCATTACACACGCAGTTCTTTGCCTCCGGCAGGCCCGCGTCCAAGTTCTTTGCCTCCGGCAGGCCCGCGTCCAAGTTCTTTGCCTCCGGCAGGCCCGCGTCAAGTTCTTGCCTCCGGCAGGCCCGCGTCAAGTTCTTTGCCCTCCGGCAGGCCCGCGTGTTCCTCCGGCAGGCCCGCGTCCAGTTCTTTGCCTGGCAGGCCCGCGTCCAAGTTCTTTGCCTCCGGCAGGCCCGCGTCCAAGTTCTTTGCCTCCGGCAGGCCCGCGTCCAAGTTCTTTGCCTCCGGCAGGCCCGCGTCAAGTTCTTTGCCTCCGGCAGGCCCGTCAAGTTCTTTGCCTCCGGCAGGCCCGCGTCAAGTTCTTTGCCTCCGGCAGGCCCGCGTCAAGTTCTTTTGCCTCCGGCAGGCCCGCGTCAAGTTCTTTGCCTCCGGCAGGCCCGCGTCAAGTTCTTTGCCTCCGGCAAGTTCTTTCCGGCAGGCCCGCGTCCAAGTTCTTTCCGGCAGGCCCGCGGCCCGCGCGTCAAGTTCTTTGCCTCCGGCAGGCCCGCGTCCAAGTTCTTTGCCTCCGGCAGGCCCGCGTCCAAGTTCTTTGCCTCCGGCAGGCCCGCGTCCAAGTTCTTTGCCTCCGGCAGGCCCGCGTCCAAGTTCTTTGCCTCCGGCAGGCCCGCGTCCGTTCTTTGCCTCCGGCAGGCCCGCGTCAAGTTCTTTGCCTCCGGCAGGCCCGCGTCAAGTTCTTTGCCTCCGGCAGGCCTTGCGTCCAGTTCTTTGCCTCCGGCAGGCCCGCGTCCAGTTCTTTGCCTCCGGCAGGCCCGCGTCGTCAAGCGTCCAGTTCTTTGCCTCCGGCAGGCCCGCGTCCAAGTTCTTGCCTCCGGCAGGCCGCGTCAAGTTCTTTGCCTCCGGCAGGCCCGCGTCCAAGTTCTTTGCCTCCGGCAGGCCCGCGTCCAAGTTCTTTGCCTCCGGCAGGCCCGCGTCCAAGTTCTTTGCCTCCGGCAGGCCCGCGTCCAAGTTCATACACAGATTGTGTGTGTTTGTGTGTATATATATATATATTTGCTGGGCTACTTTTGGCCACAAGATTGAAGACGAAGACTCCGACTAAGACCGATCAACCCCTAAGGCCCCAACGGTGGAACAATCTGATGTTGGTTACAACAGATCACAACGGTCGAACCAGCGGGTGAAGAGAGCCACGCATGAGGGACATACTAAAGAAGGTGCCACTCGAAATTATAACAGCCAGCGGCAGTCTGTTGCAGTCTCATAATTGGATTCTGCATGCCTCATTCTATACATGCTGCCGAGGAAGGTCATAAAATGAAGTGTTTGGTCACTTCCTGGCAAGTTGATGTCCAACTTAAACAAATTCATGCCATAGGCACTTTCTTCTACTCTGATTTTCTTTCACCTCCATCCAACTCTTGCAAAGCCGAACGGCGATAAAGAATGAATGACAGGGCAGGTCTTTGATGAATCTGGACGTTTCTAGTCCTGAACTTGCACGTTGGCACCGAATTTAGTCGTCAGCGCCATCCGATCAACAAAGAAGAAACTGAATTCTTGAATACGCAATAAAGCCGACGATATTGTGGCCAGTAGCTCGTATTCGGACATGCTTATTTATTAGGATGGCTATCCAGTCCTTTTTATAGACTCCTGCTCAGACACATTTTTGCTTGTTCAACACCCACAGACCGATCTGTGGTTTATACTTGGTCATGGTGACTTGTGACTTTGTGCTAGCCCAACCACCAACAGCTCCCAAATAGTACCGTCCACCCAATTTCACTCACAAGGCTTGGGTCAACTCCGGTATGGTTTTCAGGCACTTACCAAAGGTGTCGTGCACTGGGATCGCCCCTCCCCCAGGCCGATAAAATTCTTCTCGTTTGAAATGTATGGTAAGCCTGTCGTTCATTACTTTACAACACTAATCTCTGAGATCAGACTAAAAAGTAACGGGACTGATTACGTTCTTTGGTGTTAGAAGCATCGACCACAGGGTTCTTGACGCGTAGCCAGACGACCATCAGCAAGTTTACAATGAGATCCTACGGTGTTTGCTTCGCTCAATGCGCGAGAAGACTATAGTTGTGGCAGAACAAATCGTGACTGCTTCACTATGGCAATGTACCGGCTCACAACGCCCTGAGCATCCGGTAGTTCCTGCCCGACAACAACATCGCCGTACTGGAACAACTTCCCTATTCACTTGATCTTTCTCCATGTGAATTCTTTTCCACAAGCTCAAGGAGGGGGTCATCAAGGGGGCCGATTTTGAAAACTAGGATGCCATCAAGAGGGCCGTAACGACGGATCTGAGGGACATCAAAGAAAAATCCTTCCAGAAGTGAATTATAATAATATTAGCCGTTTCCTTTTAAGGTCTTGGGTATGACGATAAACTACATCCGGCAGCAAGACTTCTGTTCGGGAGACTTGGGGTTTTGAGGAGCGTGGTACCAACTCTTAATTGCTGTTGTTCCCAGGTCCACCCTGATCCGGGGATGGTATAACCTGTTCGAGTATCAGCCATGGACAAATACTTATTACCAGTAATACATTTTGGAAAAATTATAACAAGCAATACATTTTTGAAAAAAATTAAGGCAATACATTTTTGAAAAGGAAAAAATAATTAACAGAAATACATTTGGCTCGTGAGAAAAACCCTCTTTACAAAAATACGTGACTTAAACCTTATCTACAAACTGATTTCTTACAAAGAATACATGTTCTATTTATACGAACCTAACCTAAAAATCTTGTCGAAATTAAATAACCCATTTAGGTGTTGATATGCTGTAAAATAAACCGAAACAAAAGACAGAAACTCAAAAAAACACAAGCAATAATATATATATATATATATATATATATATATATATATATATATATATATATATATATATATATATATATATATATATAAATAAAAAACAAACCACTTTTAAGGTTCCATGTAATAAATTATTTCACCACAGCCCTTTTAAAAGGACTGCGGATCATCAGACTTTACTTCCAAACAAAAAGGGCCGTGGTGAAATAATTTATTGCATGAAACCTTAAAGTGGTCTGGTTTTATTTAAATTATTTCCTCTGGATTTACATTGAGCTCTCTGGATTTTATCCTCCTTAGGTTTACCCATACGGATTACCTAGTTTTTCATAAACTTATATATATATATATATATATATATATAATTGCCAACGATACATATTCTGTAGTTGAAGTCATAAAATTGGGTTTCGGCATTAAATAACCCATAGAGATGTTGATATGCCGCTAAACAAAATCAGCCAAGCAACCTTATAAGTAAACACTCGGCTATTCGTTGACCGAATAGCCAGTGCTATCCAAGTTACGCCTTTCTTTACTCCTTGGCCATCGAACTGGGATCAAAGTGAAGTATCTGCCTTCGGTTAAACAAACCATATTTTATCTCTCAATTGTGGTTCTGTCTTCCGAGGGAACACAACAAATAAATGAGAGAAACTGTCTCCGGGGATTCCATTTCTGCGGCAGCACCTCCCTCATTGCAACAGACACTGCGGGTCGCTGGAATATCGACGTCAGCTCGACTTTGGTTGCGGGGACTTGGCAATTTGGAGCCCTTAACCTATATACGTTCTGGCAGGCCGATTTTGGAAATGTAGCATTGCACTCAATTTAAAAGTTGGGGTTTGAAATGATTTTTCCAAATCCTTACTGTTTTTTGGGGTTTTTTTTAAGGAAACTAGTTTAGAGATAGTTTAGGTTCAAAATTATAGCTTTGGAATTTAATCCCGTTGATCAATGAAAGCACAGTCTCATAAAATTCATAATTTATTGAACCTGTACAAATTTTATATGGAGAAGATGCACATTATTATTAAATCATTGTACCATCAAATGAGACCATCATTTACTTTAAAGTGAAATTATACTGAACAACTAGCAGCATGGTCCGGCGTTGCCCGTGCTTGATTCAAAAATCGTACGACTCGTACAGCAATCGCTATCACTTGACTTAAAATATTTTTGCCCTTCCTTGCCTTTAAAGGAGTGCCCTTTGCCGTGCTGAAGTTGCTACATGCCTTACTTCTTGCCTATCTCACACTGCGAATTTTTTCTAAGCTATATACTAAACATTAAATCTGTTATGAAAAAATAACTAAACAAAATGAACACAAAACGATCAGCTTTAAAAAAGGACTCGTAACTGGAAAAACCGAAGGAAAAAAGAATGTTAACAACAAATACTTTTTCACACCCAACTCAGTTCTGCGGAATCAGAATCAACATAGATTTAAATTTTTCCCACTTGTGACGAATGCACCTATCGATTTTTTTGCATGCTAGTTAATATTCGTGTCAGTCAGCTGTTGCCTCTCACGCTGGCCAATAGAATCTTCCTGCCTATTCGTGGCAGCCAGCTATAGGCCCTCACTCTGGCCAGTAGAAAATGGCCGCAAACTACATGAAAACTGCCGTAGAAGCATGAAAAAAATCGATTATTTCCACTATCGATGGGAGTTGAGAAATGCAAAGTCAGTCTTGGCCTTCCCGCGAACTTGGAGCATGTGCATGTAAATTTTGGTGCAAATCCGTCGAAAATTGCTGCCGTGCATTCGTTACACACACACACACACACACACACACACACACACACACACACACACACACATCCTGTCTTTTATAGATAGATTTAGCTATATTATGGTGTAATATCATACAGTGCAGTAGTTTTAGTGTACTTTTGAATAAACAATGCAAATTTAAAACATGAATCTGACTAGAATTCAAACTCAGGTCTCTGATTTCGCATTCCGAGTCATTATCCATGACACCACACCACATATTAGGGCAGGTCGATTTTAGAAGCATGATACTGCACTCCATTTGAAAGTTGAAGTTTGACATGATAAATAATGACACAAATTGTTTTTGTTTTGTTTTTTCCAAATCATTACCGTTTTTTGAGGAGACGCGTTTAAAGATTAAGTTTAGGTTCAAAACTGCCATGTTAGAATTTAATTCCGGTTATCAGTGAAAGCCTTATAGCAGAGCCTTTTAAAATTTATAATTTACTGAAGCTTTACATATTGTATATGGACAAGATACATGGCACAAACACATTATTACTAAATTATTGTCATCAAATAAATTTACTTCAAATGGAAATTATACTGAAGAATTTAACTATATTATAATGTAATATGTTATACAGTGCAGTAGTTTTAGTGGGATTTTCAATAAAAAATGCAAATTTAAAACATTTTGTCTTTAAGTTGTGCCCAGCAGAATTGTGATGTTATATGGACTTGTATCTATTTTTTGTTTTTATTATAATCTAATAAATGATCTGAGAAATCTTATTCATTGAATAACCTTTTTTTGTAATCTTTTACATATCGAATAGAGTAAAAATGTATATTTTGCTTGTGGTGATTCATAATTAGAATTCTGATTTTATTTCCCTTCCAATGTATCTAATACAAAGGATGTCAACTTTATTTGGATTTATTCTTCAAATGGTAACATTTTAAAGTCAGTTTGTAAGCAAAAAATCGCGGAAATTAGGTATTTCTTTAGATTTTTCTTTTTAAAAATTGGTAAAAGCTATAAATCTAATTTTTGATGGCAGTACTTATAACATCAATCCACAGCTTTCTCACAGAGTGCAAGGGTTGGTTTTCTCAAAAAAAAGTAAAAAAATCAACCTGACAGTGTGCATTCTCTCTATCTCACACACACACACACACACACACACTTTAAATATACCTTGTGCCATATCCCGTTACCGTGAGAGGACGAAAAAAATATCTGAATCCATCTCTAATGGTAATATAAGCCGTTTCCTTTATAAGGAAACATTTGGCATTCATTGACCGCCGAGCAGTCAGTTCTGCTTTCGTATGAAATTTTTATAAAATCTTTCTCTTAAATTGTTTTTTGAAAATTAGGTTTCTCAAGTCCATCACTCTTTCCAGTATTGTTGGGGTTTTTACTTCCTTCTTAACGTTTT